AAAACCCAAACGAAAGTAGACCATTAGAATGAAAGGAAAAAAAAGTGTTAAAACTGACATCACAGACATGAAAATGTTTGATTTTTAAAAACATTATTTATTAAAGTATTCATTTGGTTAATTTTACATAATCAACATTCCTTAAAATTTAAGGTGATTTTTTTTTTTTTTAACTAACTTTAATGAAACTAGATGAGTATCTCGGGCAGAAAATCTATATGAGTCCATGAATCTGCTCATGTGTCCAGCTTGCCTTCAACATATTGCTGGTATTATGCCTGTAACTCTGTTAAACAATTAAAAAAATATGTTTGTTTCACCAGCTCAGGTACCAAAAATGGAACCATGGCTGACTATGATGTTTTGGGGCATCCTAAGTATTTCCTTAGAAGTGTTTATAGTGCCCAATTCAGGATGTCACCTTACAAACATTTCGTCTCCCCTGCCTGCCCATTCTTTAAATTTAAGCATCCCACTGGTGGTGGCCCCCTTCGGCGGCGCAGGCAAAGCTCCATGCATCTGAGAGCTGATGCTCAGCTCTCTGCAATGTTCAGTTCATTAAACACAGGTTCTTACACACCAGAACCGAAATTACCTGGAATTCGCTTCTGGGACAGTCACCTGAGGTTGCCATAGTTCTCTTAGGCTCTGCCTCATACCTGCTGCTTTAATTACTTCATTTTCTCCTCCATTTCTACTTTAAAAGAGAGAGAGAAACACAAAGTGTGTGTTAAACTGCTTAGTAATTAAATTCACTTGACCTCCAAAGTCCACGATAAAGGTACTTTACCAAATAGAAGTGAAATGTGTTATCTGTGAAGAATGACCTAGAAATAAAAATTATAATCACAATTCTTTACAGAGACAATGGAAAGCATTTAAAAAGTATAAACTTCAAATGGTGTGTTTCCCCACCAGTCTGCAAGGTATTAACCGTTAGTTTCTGTAAGATCACGACGCTGCTTTAAAACAATAGAGGGATGTCCGGTCCTTTCCTTGAGATTCACAGCTTTAACTGCAGTTAAAATTTCCGGCTGGGACTGGAGCGCTCCCCCACCTGGAGCCCAGGTGTGCACCTGCAGCTTACCTTGCCAGCGCGAGGTGCTCCATCGCTGGGACGGACGCGCTTTCCCAACTGCACGTAGCAAGTCCTCATTTAAAACCCTGACACTTGTTTTCGTGACATTTACGACTGTAAATACTAATTTACGTACGTTTTCATTGCCAATCCTGGGTCCGGGGTGGGGCGGGGGAAGGGCGGACGCAGGACCCCGGACCCCTGAGGTACCGCGAGGCCCCCGCGGGCGGGAAGCGGAGAGAGGGGCGGAGCCTGCCGCGCGCTCAGGGGAGGCGGGGCCCACGAGAACTGGGCGTGGCGCCTAGGCGTGGTCTGGAGGCAAGGGGCGTAGCCCGGAAGAAAGGGGCGTCGCTGGGGCAAATGGGGCCACGGACGTGGCCAGTAAGGCCGTGGCTTAAGGGCGTGGCTGGGGAAGAAGGCTGGCGGGGCGGAGATGGGCGTGGCTGAGGATAGGAGCGTGGCGTCTGGGAAGGGGGCGTGGCGCAGAGTAGGGAAGGGGCGTGGCGGGGCCCGCAGCTCGCAGTCAGCCGCAGAGCGCGGAGCAGACAGGCCAGGAGGACGCTCTGTGGTCCCAAAAATGGGCGGAGGCCTTGGCCCTCCAGCGACGCACAGACAGGTCAAGGACCCCTCGCCTGGCGTGTCCTGCGTCACGTGCGGTCCAGCCATCTGAGCCGCCCATCACGAAACCTACCTCAGCCACGCTTCTCCGCTGGGTTCTGGGACCACACCGTTGGCGCAGAGGGGCGGACAGTCCCTTCCAGGAGCCTGAGCCACCGCCCTCAACCCGCGCAGGCGCAGTGCGCACAGGCCGTCTGCGGAGAACGCCCCGCCCAGGGCCCGGCGCACCGCGCAGGCGCCGTCCATATGCGCCCCGCCGTCCGGAGAAGCGGAGCCACCGCCCTCCATCCGCGCAGGCGCCATGCGCACAGGCCGTCCACGGAGAAGGCTCCGCCCAGGGCCCCGCGCAGGCGCACTTCTCGGCCTGCGCTTCCCGCTGTCGCACGCGCCGGGTAAAGCGCCCCCTGTGTGGAGGCTGAGCTTCGACGTGGCCGGCCGGGCACGTGGGGGATCGGCGGAGGCCTGATCCAGAGAGGGGGCGCGGGAGTGGGGGTCGGAGTCGGACGCGGAGACTGGCCGCGGGGGTCGGGGGTCCGAGGCGGAGAGGGAGGTGCGGGGACGGGAGTGCAGCCGGGGCTGTCCTGGGAGCGGGACCCACGAAGAGTGACAAAGTGGCTGAGGTTTCTGGCGGAGGACGTGCACCTACTCGGGTTTTTTTGGTAATAATTCACTTAACCTTCCCGGCTACGCTGTGAAGCGTGAACCGTTTTTTATTCTTTCCTGGACAAATGGAACAGAATGAGTAAATTCTTGTTCTGCCAAGAAGGCTGGGGTTAAAAGGGCAATGGGATGACATCAACGCCCATCAGGAGATGGCCGGTCCAGGCGGGCCTGCGCTCCCGCTGCAACAGGGACCGACTTGTGAAGATGTCAGAGAACTGTGTAGCAGCAAGCACTAGATGAACCTATTGTGAACTAAAATAAAATCTTAAGGCTCCCCGCCCCAGCTGCCTGAATGGACGTCCTCTTGGCCAAAGGGATACCCTAAAGCTGGGCCACTGGCCGTGAGCGAGGTCAGACCTGCGTGGTCATGCCCCTCCCTCCTTGGAGACATCCTTTGTAACTCAGTGACAGGCCTAAGGCTGTGC